TTTCTGCTCACCCTCAGCGATCTTGCACTGTACTCACTCCTTTGCTCCCGATGATCTCACTCGGCTCGTCGGGTCTCCGGGCTGGCTGCACTCGCCGTGCCAGCTGGCTTCTTCCCAAGCCTGGATTAAGGGATCTTCTTGGTATGGCGGGAGATCGCACCTCTCCTCGCCTCCCCTGAAGCTTCCCCTCCTTATTCCCGATCTCTCCAGGACCGGTCTCTGCCGAAAAAGGCACCAAAAGCTCAGAAATCCGACACTAGAGAGAGAGCGCTTCTCTCCTGTGCCGCCACCACTCTATGTTACCGCCGGAAGTCCTAGAATAGGACCATCCCTGAAAGGGCAGCTAAAGTCTGGATCCCTCTGTCCTTTTCTCCAGGCAATTGGGGCTTCCCCCCACTCTCTCAGTCTTGTCATCTACTAAGTATCACTCACCTTGCATCTCAACATCTGTCTCCCTCTCTCTGTCTTGGTCTCTCAGATTGTTGGCTCTCCTCTGACCATTTGCTTGCTCATTCCGCTTGCTCGGCTCCCTTCAGCCATTCTCTGGGTTATCTGAATCCCCTCTGGCCACTTGCCTGCTCATTCTACTCACTCAGTTTACCTCTGTTGTCCTCTGGCTCATCTAGTGTCCTTCTGGTCACTCACCTCCTCGCTCCACTCACTGGAAAGTCTCTCCCTCCCGACAAACTCTGGGGCATCCAATTGTACTTGTAGAACTCAGTGGGCAAATGGAAGCAGTCTTTTCTTGATCAGTTAGATGCATGAGGATCTGATGGTAACCACTTCTCAGATCCAACAGACTGAACCACTTTGCCCCCGAAATAAGCAATGCAAAGTGTTCTCAATCCATGAGGTAGCGTATAGATCTGGAATGGTCCTTTGGTTGAGAGCACAATAATCTGCACATTCTCAGGAATCCATTCTGTTTCTGCGCCACAACTATAGGAGATGCATAGGGGCTGTGAGACTCTTAGATAACCCCTGTTCTCTTTAACTCTGCCAGATGCTCTCTGAAGTCATCCAAGTCATCTAAGGGAATCTGCCAAGACCTCCCTCTGAATTCCCTATCTTTTTGTAATCAAATGCTGGGCACTCATAGAGCATCCCATGTCAAACTCATTTTTGAAGAATAAATGCCATCACCTCAAAAATTGATCTCTAGCCTGCTCTACCCATTCTGGAGTAAGCGGAATATTTTTGGGTAGAACAGTTCTATTGGGATCATCTTCTCAGTCCCTTCCTCTTCCCCTAATGATGCAACAGGGATAGCAGGACTTTGACCTAATAACATCCAGTCCTTCAGCCTCCTCAGGAGATCAGTAGCATTTTGGACCCCAACCAATTTTTTCTGTTGGGTGTACTGCAATGCCTATCTGGAAACCACCTCAGAGATTATGTGCACTTCAACATCTCCTCTTGTGGGGTCAGTTTTGAAGTTCAACCTCGCAGACACCTTACCTCCCTTGATTGCAATGCCCTCCACACTTCCAGAGCTTCCCCACTCCTTCTGCAGAGGCCTGTTGCTCTCACACCATGCATTGGTACACTGCCCACAGTGCCTAGTGAATGCCCCCTGACTCTGGGTTACTTGCTGGGACAAGAGGTATGAGCAGTCACCTGACATGATTGGTATTCGTCCCCACAATCAGAACCTCCAGGTTGTTCTTGGGGGAGCAAGTATATACAATGGCCAAGGTGTCAACAGGTTTAGAATGCCCCACAACCAGGGGGCCAAACATTAACTGGATGAGAAGGTAACCACTGTAACCACTGTAAGGTTACCACTCTCAGTTCCAGTGCCCCAAATCTTCAAATTGTCCAGCTTCTGTAGGTGCAAGTGTTTTCAGGTGCCTGTCATAGAAGTGCCTGTACAATAAAGTCACTTGCACTTCTGAGTCCAGGAAAGCCCTTGTGTAAATGCCTTTGATTTACACTGGCAGTATGGGGGCAGGACCTATTAGTTTGCGGGCACTCTGCCAGCCAGGACCAGTGCACTTGGTTTAGTAGTTCATGCTTAGACATTCTTTTTGGCTTATGGAGGCTTGTTGCTTGGCTTTAGATGCTCTTTTTGGCTTATGGTACCTGTTGCGATGTCTTGTTGCTTGACTTTCACTAGTCTCTCCTGGGTAGAGACCTGACACAGAAGAAAGTATTCCCATTGATTCTGTAGAAAAGCTTTGATGAGTCTTCACTTGCCAGTTTTGATACCCAATTCTGTCATTTGCCATTCTTAAAAGCTAAAGCTAGTTGGTGTAGGTGGGCATCTAGTTGGCTCCTTCACTGGGGCCCTTGGAGTTTCTCACTTGGGTCTGACTTCTTGGTCTGGCGGCCTCATGCAAGTACGTCTGTAATCGCCTTCATCCCCACAATTATAGCAAATCACTGGACTCAATAAATTCTCAGCTGGAGCAGTGGAAGGTGCCCCTCCTTTAACTGATATTGTCACATCACCCACTCGAGAGTGTGGTAACCCTTCTGATAACAAGGTCATCACTTTTATCAGTTGGGATATTTGTGTCTCTAAGTGGCAAATTTTTCATTAGCATCTACAGCGCTCACTATCACAGCGCTTGCCTGAGACAATTCTGACGGCAAGTTGGTTGCAGCTCCTTGGCATCCTCCACTTCCTCTTCTCTCACCATCTTTATGATTGTACCCAGACCAGGCCCATGTATAGAGCACCTCACAAGATCTTCTGCATCTAGTCTAATCTACTTCTGTGGACTCAATTCCCTTCCTTGACACAATTTGACATAAAAACTTGTTCAGGTGCCTGATATATCCAGAAAATAGTTAACTTTTTTGTTGGTACGTGTGCTCAGGCTGGTAAATCAGGTAAGAAGTTGTCTTTGTTGATCAAACACTTCCTGCAATATGATGAGGTAGTCATAAGCCATACATGACTCCCAATTAAACTTTAAATTTCTAATGGCTTCTGCAGTGGGACTTTTCAGGCTCTCTGTGATCCTCTGTTTCTTCTGTGTCTCTGGGACAACCCATTCCTCTACTGCCTGCATGACTTCTTCCATCTAAGTTTCATACTCCTCCTCCCCTGTGGGCACAGGCTGCATCGCCAAAATGCTGTTTTCTATACCCAACCCCCAAATAATTGTTGCTTGCACATGATCACAAGGTTTTCCATAGCCTTGAGAAGCTTTGTCCATGGTGTTCCTTATGTGGCAGGGTTGTGTGCTTCTTCCTTGAGGGCCAATGTACTGTCCAAGAGCATGGATTGGTCATGACCCCCTGATTTACTAGTCCATGAGTCACTGGTCTGTGTTTTCGTTGGACCAACCGTATCCTCATGTCCTCATATCCTCTGTTAACTGAAGGTTTTTGCCTCCGAAGCAAACTGGGATCTTTTGCCTTTACACTAACAATGCATAAAAATGGGAGGTGTCTCAGTCCACTTTCATGTGCACAATAAATACCCTCTGATCTGGAGATAGGGCCCTCACCAGTTGCAGAACTTGCTCTTCTGTTCAGGCATCTGCTTAACTCTACCTGGATATTTTGTTCCTACTTATTAATGGTGATGGGGTTTATTTTACCTACTTAGCTTATGTCTCTGAAGTGATCACCTCTCCTGCAAAAAAGGGCTAGAAGTAATTATGGATAAGCCCCCACTTGTAGCATCACCCCCAATAGAGCCACTAAAGTCCAGGGAAAATTTCTCTTTCTCCAGGAGATTGGGGTTTTCCCCCACTCCCTCAATCCTATTCTCTGCACGTATCTCTCACCTGGCATATCAACATCTCTCTCCTTCTCTCTCCATCTCTTGGATTATTGTCTCATCTTTGGTCACTTGCTTGCTCTGCTCTACTTAGTCAACTCTCCATCTTTCTCCTCTTTCCTCCTTTGTTATTCTGTCTTTTTTCCTGGTCCTATCCTATTCCCGACCTCTACCCCCCCATCTCTTCTGCATTATTTCCTTGCTTGCTTTATCTTTCTCTGCCGATCATCCCAGCAGCTCTTCCTGCACCATTCTTCTTCTCCACGGTACTTTCCCCTCCACTTTTCACTTTTGCTATCCACAGCTCACATATCATTCTTTCTTTCCCCCACTTTCTCTCTCTCCTCTTCCTCTCCTTCCCTTTTTGTTCTCTCTTTCTCTTTCCCCTTCTTTGTTCTCTCCCTCCTTCCCCTATTTTCCATCAAATTCCTGTCCTTTTAAACCTCTCTCTATCCTTGCCACCCCTTCCTCTCAAATTTCTGAATGAACTCCCCAGCCAGCTGCTGGCCATCCCAGAATGCTCATATTTGACTGCTGGCAGACCTCTGGGATTGGCTACATTGGTGACTCCAGTGTAATAGATTATTATTTCCATAATCCTCCCATAATCCTCCAGCAAAACAACTCTATTTGCTAGGCCCTATAGGATGAAAATCTAACATTTTTCAAGGGCATAAATTTATAAAAAGTTAGTCCTTGCATTATAGAAAACTGCCTATTTAGGGCAAACAAATTCTGAAAGAGATTTTCTCCCAAGCTACAGATTTTCTGAAAAGATGTATAATATTATAGCAGTTGTTCCCAAAGAGGATTTATACTGAATTTTCATATTCTGATTACATGTTTCCACAGAGACCAGATTGCCCATTATCTTACAGATAATGGTATCTAATTTAATAAAACAGAATAAGAAAGACAATTGTGATTATGCTCTTTGGTCTGCTCTCTCTTTAACAGATATACATTGATTTCTTTTTTGAATCTGAAATTGGTGGAGTTTGATTCTATTTAGCAAATGGCAATATTAAGAGAGCTCGCTATTTTTTTTAAAAAAACACCTTTCCCCCCCTAATATGAAGCCTGTAAAAAAGCCAGGTTCTGCAGCTAGGTGGTGATGTTTCTTCTTAGCAGTTATGAATAAAATATAAGATAGACTCTTTGAGAATATTGTTTCTTTTTAGTGCTTCCTACTCCATGCAGGGTCAAACAATAGCAGGCATTTTAAGGGTGCAATGATCTTCTAATTGGAACAAATTCTTTGTCACAGATTATAGTATCTTCCTATATATGGCAACTCAAGATTTTAGAAGCATTGTCCAGATTTTGGTGTAGAAATGTGATGGAGAAAAATACTTCAACAAGGAAGTTTTCTTCCTGAGCCACATTTGAGGTATAAAAATATTAACTCCTTCAATATCTCAGGGTTCTATAATTTGGCTCTGGATTAAGGGAGAAATTTCTCTCTCAGTACTATTTCTCTAATGAAGCAATTCTAAAATAATAAATGATACCTAATATTATACCTGTATGTTTTGGTCTGCAGAAAGAACAGCATCTTTAATTAAGGAATTGATGAAAGAGTTCAGGATTAACCATCTTCTTGCAGTATTGTTTCCCAACCTAAATCATTCTACCAGAGCAATGTGTAGCAAGCAAGATAATTTGGGTTCAAGTAAACCTGATATTTGTTACAAGAAGACAGCAAAACCACCCAGCAGCCACAACTGGAAGTAATCATTTTAATATTTTATAATATTTTTGCTTGACACCATTCTGAAAAATATTATGAGAAGTTATCATGGTAGTCAATGGCTAGTGCAGATTAGAGGATGCCCTCTGTTGTTCTGCTTAGATCGGTATTTATGGGCTTAAAAAGGCAGTGTTTTGCTTTAAGCATCTGAAATAATGTCTCAATGATTTTTGCATGGAACCTAAGAGATCAAAAGAATTCTAATACAATGTGATCAGTTTTGGGGAGGTGTCTGTGTGTGTGTGTCTGTGTGTGAGAGAGACAGAGAGCGAGAGAGCGGGGGGTGGGAGAGAGAATGTCTATGTGACTTTGATTATTTCAGTTTTCTTATGTCAAGTCATATCATCCTTATCCTATAGCCCTCCAGATGTGTCAAGACTGCAGCTTTCAGTATTCCATAGTCCAGTGATGGCAAATCTTTTTGGCACTGAATACCCAAACCGGAACATGCATGTGCACATGTATGTGCACCAGTGGTGAGTTCCTCCCGGTTTGGCCCGGTTCGGCCGAGCCAATAGCGGTGACGATATGATGTCACTGAACCGGTTCTGGCTCCCCCCGCCCCCCCATCCGCATGTTATTTTTACCTTTTATTTGGCCCCACCCCCAATCTATTGCTGCCTCCTGAGTCCCAGCTGATGGCTAGAGGGAAAAATACTGTTTAAACTCTTGCCGCGGGGCTTCAAAGGACTGCCCTACAGCTGATAAGTGTTAAAAGAAAACAAATGAGTAGACCGGTGCCTGCAAAAATACATGAGTAGATCAGTGCCTGCAAAAATACATGACTAGATCAGTGCCTGCAAAAATAAATGGGTAGATCGGTACAGCTCTGCAAGCAGTTAAAAGCCTGGTAGACCAGTACCTCTGCTAAATCCTAAATAATTGGCACATGACCATCAAGCCACACCCACAAAATAAGCCACGCCCACAGAACCGGTAGTGAAAAAATTTAGAACCCATCCCTGACGTGCACCATAGTCCTGGAAATCCGAAGACCAGCTGGTGATGGCACACATGGCCACAGTGATGGTTCTGTGTCAGAGATGGGTTTCAGCAGGTTCTGACCAGTTCTGGAGAAATGGTAGCGGAAATTTTGAGTAGTTCGGAGAACTGGTAGTAAAAGTTCTGACCAGCTCCACCCCCATCTATTCTCTGCCTCCCAAGTCCCAGCTGATCAGGAGGAAATGGGGATTTTGCAGTAACCTTCCCCTGAAGTGGGGAGGGAATGGAGATTTTACAGTATCCTTCCCCTGCTAGGCCCACCAAGCCATGCCCACCAAGTCATGCCACGCCCACCAAGTCATGCCCACAGAACTGGTAGTAAAATTTTTTGAAACCCACCACTGCCTTGCATGCCACCTCTGGGACATGTACCATAGGTTCGCCATCACGGCCATAGTCCAACACAACTAGATGTTACCAGATCTCTTGTCATTTCTCTCTGTAAATATGTAACTGGTTATAATAAGGGGAGATAGGAAAGAGGTAAGAGCAGTTGATGATTGAACCAATCCACCAGTTCTTTTGCCCAGGATTTGCAGAGTATGGAGTGGAGGATCAGTAAAGTCAAGCAAGCAGCTTGATTGAGAAAATTGAAGCTCTGCCCCTTTAAAATATAGTATATTTTGCACATTAAAAAGGGACGGAGGTTGATTGGAGGGCCATAGCTGCCATCTTGACTTTTCTGACCCCCCTGCAGATGTCTCAGCTGAAAGAAATATATAAGAGTTATATCTTTTAAGACTAGAAAAGAAAAAGCACAGTATACTCACTGAAACACGTTCTTCAAGGATAGAAAAGGAGAAAATTTGATAGTTGTGCAAGGAAAATATTGAGATGGATAGAATGAACGCTAAATGCTTGTCCCCAAAGAATAATGAAAATGGCTTGCATTCATAATATTTTCTGTCTTCAGGTCTCATTATAGTCATTTTCCCAATGAATGCATGCACGATATACCATTTCCTTTTTTTCATCACTATCTTTGTCATGGAAAAGAAGCTATCAGAATCCTAATGACTTAGTTATTTAAGCCATTTCTGTATTCTTTATATTTTGAACAACTCTCTGTTTCACTTCTCCACAGGTTATTAATGCTAAAAGTGGGAATTGCTATCAAATTGCTGAACAATAAAAAGGCCAAAGTATCAAAAATTGCTATTATCTCTGCAACAAAGATTATATGACATGTGTGAAGAAAAAGCCAGAATGAATTCAGTGTATGTCTCCTGAAGGCAAATGATATTAACAAATATTATAAAAAGCAGTGGCAGTAAACAGAAAATATTTCAAGGTATTCAGCTCCTTTTCTGCAGACGAGGTTTGACATTCGTATTCTCTGAGGGTCTCATTTCCCTGAACAATGGGGAAGTTTCAGGGAAGCACCTATTTCATTTGGGGTTTTTTTGAGAAGGAAAGTTGGCTGGAAACATCCTTTCTGCAATATCTGAATATATTTATTAATATCCATTGCATGTATTGCTATATTGTAAGGCTGAGGCATTAATGAGGTGAATGAGGCATGAGCTAACGATGTTTATTAACAGGAACCAACAGCAACAGAAATGTAACAGAACTCGGTGTCTGGTAAATGTCAGCTCTTTTATACTCCGAGCTGTCAACTAACTACCCAATCAGAACAGTCAGAAACTCCCGCTTGTTTATGGCCACTCCTCCTAGCCAATCCACAGTCAGTGTTCTTGTTGTCGGAGTGCTGGCAAATCACAACACTCCTTCACCCCTGGATGGAACATACATAATCTTTTAGGTATTCCGGGCGCTTATCACCCGTGTAGATCGTCTCAGCGCAGGTGCGGTCGGGGAAGCGGCAGGTTCAGCTCCAGGAGGTGGCGCTGCAGATAGCTCCTCCTGTTCGGTGGAGGGTGCGGCCGCAGTCGGTAAGTTCCGAGATGCTTTTTGATTTTCCGGCGCAGATGGTGGCTGGTCGGCGGCTGGGACTGGCAGGGGAGTAGGCTCCTCGTAGAAGGTTGTCCAAGGGGCCTCCCTGTCCGGGACCATCAGTAGGGTTGTCTGGCGTACCCTCAGTTGGCCCACGTGTCGGTGCCATGTTTGGCCGTCATTCAACAGTATCCTGTAAGAGCAGGGGCTGGTTACCGCAGTCACTAGTCCTGGCAGCCAACGTGGCTCACCCCCGAAGTTCCACGCATATACTAGATCGCCCTCCTTTAACACCCTAAGTCCCCCACTGGTATTCCAATGACCCTCTGGGGCATAGGTGGGGTGTAAACGGTCTAAAACAGTTCGTAACCGCCGACCCATTAACACTTTGGCGGGGCTTCGGTGCGTAGTAGGGCAAGGGGTCATGTGTTGGGAGGATAAATAGATGGCCACCTTTTCCTGCCAGTAGGCGGGTGATAACCGGGCGAGCGCCTCCTTGGCCGATCTGATGGCCCATTCAGCCAATCCATTTCCCGCCAGATGGTAAGGGGCAACCTGGGCGTGGCAGATCCCTAACCCAGCTAAGAACGCTGCAACTACTGCAACGCTCTCTACATGGGGCTCCCCCTGGGGTGCACCCGGAGGCTCCAGCTGGTCCAGAACGCGGCCGCGCGGGGGATTTTGGGGGCGACGAGGCGCTCCCACGTGACACCTCTCCTGCGCGAGCTGCACTGGCTCCCGGTGGTCTTCCGGGTGCGCTTCAAGGTGTTGGTGACCACCTTTAAAGCGCTCCATGGCTTAGGGCCGGGGTACTTACGAGACCGCCTTCTGCCACCAATAGCCTCCCACCGGCCAGTACGCTCCCACAGAGTGGGCCTCCTCAGGGTGCCGTCCGCCAGACAATGTCGGCTGGCGACCCCCAGGGGGAGAGCCTTCTCTGTGGCGGCGCCCACCCTCTGGAACAACCTCCCCCCAGAGCTACGTACAATAACAGACCTCCGGATTTTTCGTCGGGCCCTAAAAACCCATTTATTTCAACTAGCTGGGCTGGCTTGAGTCAAATTTTAAACGGATTTTAAATTGGAATGTTTTAATTACGGCCAAAATTATTTAATTATTTTAAACAGATTTTAGATTTTGTATGTTTTGTATGTATGTCTTGTTTTTACTTTGGCTGTTCACCGCCCTGAGTCCTACATTGGAGAAGGGCGGTATAGAAATTTAAACAAATAAATAAAAAAATAAAAAAATAAGAAGGTTTGGAAAGTGGCGGACGTTAGCTGTGGCCTGTTATCAGTCACTACCACATCCGACAGGCCATGGGTGGCAAATAGGCGGCGCAAAACCTGGATTGTAGCCTCGGAGGTAATCGATGTCATCAGTACCAACTCCACTCATTTAGACAGAGCATCTACCACGATCAGAAAGATCCGGCCCATATAGGGGCCAGCAAAGTCTAGGTGAATTCTCAACCAGGGTCCCTTGGGGGTTTCCCATTTCCTAGGGGGGACGGAAGGCGCTGCTGGCTGAACCATCTGAGGATTCTGACACCTCAAAACCCACTCAGAGACATCCCGGTCTAATGCAGGCCACCACACATAGCTACGGCTCAGTTCTTTCATTCGGATGATGCTGGGATGCCCTGCATGTAAACACTCCAGAACCCGGGTCCGTAATGTGGGGGGAACCACCACCCTATGCCCCCACAGGAGACAACCCAGGTGCACTGACAACTTGTGCTGACGGGCCCGGTAAGGAGCGAATTGCCCAGGTACCTGGCGCAACGGCCAACCCCTGCTCGCCCAGTTAAGGACTTGTGATAGAACTTGGTCCTGTAGGGAGTGAGCTGCGATGTCGGTGGCGATCACCGGTAAGGCAATCGCATCTAATAGAAGGATGGGTAGGGCTGGGGCGGGGTCTCGTACCGGTGCCGGCAAAGGGCAGCAGCTCAGGGCATCTGCATGGGTAATCAGTTTACCGGGGCGGTAGACTAAGGTGTGGTTATATGTGGCCAGGAAGAGAGCCCACCAGGACATGCGCAGGGAGAAAACTTGCGGCATCTGACAGTGACCCGCCAAAAGACCCAAGAGGGGCTTATGGTCCGTCACCAGTTCAAACTGTCTCCCATACAGATATTCGTGAAACCACTTGATGGATGCCATGGCAGCCAGGGCTTCCCGATCCAGCTGGCTATATTTGCGTTCCGCTTAGGACAAAGTCCTCGAATAAAATCTATGGGCACCTCAACCCCATTGGGGAACCTATGGCTCAAAACCACGCCAATCCCATAAGGGGAAGCATCAACTGTCAGTGTAAGAGGCAAGGTTGCACTGTATTGGATTAAGACAGCAGATGACGAGAGGAGATCTTTGACCCCCTTGAAACGTGCGGGCGTGCTCTTTGGTCCAGGACCATGGCGTGTCTTTGGAGAGCAGCCGATGAAGGGGTTCAGCTACATTGGCTTTATGGGGCAGGAACACATTGTAAAAATTTAACAGCCCCAGGAAGGATTGCAGCTCCGCACGGGAGGTGGGCAGAGCTGCATGTTTAATTGCAGCAACTTGGAAGGAGTGGGATGGATCCCATCTGCATCAATGAGATAGCCGAGGAATTCAATTTGGGTAATGCCAATTGCACATTTGTACCTTTTTAATTTGAGTCCAGATTTGTGGAAATGGAGAAGGACAGCCCTAACTCGCTCAATGAACTCACTCCGACAAGAAGCGGAGATGAGCACATCATCGAAGAAGGGGACCACACCGGTCAGGTCATGGAGCAATCTCTCCATAAGGTTCTGAAACAGGCCTGGGGCCACGCTCACCCCAAACTGCAATCGCCGACATTTAAACGCACCCCGGTTGGTGACGATGGTCTGAGCCTCAGCCGAGGCGTCATCCACCGGGAGCTGCTGGTACGCTTGGGCCAAATTCAATTTAGCGAAAATGGAGCCTGGCCCAAGGGAATGAAGCAGATGTTGGACTACAAGGACAGGGTAGGGATTTGCCTGTAAAGCCCTATTCAGGGTACATTTAAAATCTGCGCACAGATGCGCACAGAGCCATCGGGCTTGATGGGAACAACTATAGGGGTCTCCCACTTCAAATGGTCAGTCAGTTCTAGAACCCCCTGGGAGATGAACTTGTCCAGCTCCGTGTCCACCTTTGGCCTGAGCGCAAAAGGGACTCTGCATGGTTTGAGCCGGATTGGGGCTACCTTCGGGTCTAGGTTGAGAGAAATGGCAGAACCCACATATTTTCCTAAAGTGCCATCAAAAATGTTGGCAAACTCAATGAAAAGGCCATTGAACCCATCCACCGATGTAGAGTTAATCCCCGATATCTTCAATCCTAAAGAACTAAACCAATCCATTCCTAACAGACAGAAAGGAACCCCTTAACTACGATCAAAGGAAGGCACCCCACGAATCCCTCCGTTTCTACAAGGAAATGACCCTGCCCCAGGATTGGAATAAAATTGTCCTTATAGTCCTGCAGATTGACTGGGCATGGTTGCAGCTGGCTCTTTTGCAGCGTTGGTATCAGTTTTTTAACACTCCCCAGGAGACGATGGATTTAGCAGACCCAGTGTCCACTTCCATGGGGCAGGAGGCGCCTTCAATTGTAACTGTCATGGAAAGTTTAGCACTCCCTGGTTTAACTGGACGAGCAGTCACCTCAGTAATCCTGCGGTCACGAGAGATGGAAAAACAGTCCTCCTTTGTGGGGCGGTGAGGTTTCGGAGCAGCAAATGGCTTTGCCAGTGACCGGCAGACCCTAGCAATATGGCCCTGTTTCCCACAGCGATGGTAAATTGCCGACCTGAAATGACAGGTCGCCCTTGGGTGTTCTTCCCCACAACTGAGGCAAAAGGTTGGAGGGCCTCTCTTCAGTCATGGCCCTTTGCTCCGGGGTTTTGATGACTGAAGGTGGCTGATCTCTGCCTCTTCTTCCTCATCCGTAGCACTGTCAGAGGCAATGTCCTGCAAATTTACTGTGGTAGCTGCCGGCCCCCCTGGAGGGTAGAACTTTCTAATGTCCGCGGTAGATTTATCAGACATCTCCGCCGCTTGGGCTTTTTCGAGGGTGGTCTGCAGGTCTAGATTTTTTTTAGCTAGCAGTTGCCTCTGCAGTCTAATGTTTCTGACCCCGCATACTAGCTGCTCCACCAAGGCGTCATCTAGGTCCCTGTACTCGCAGTCTAGGGCAGCGGTTCTCAACCTAGCCACATAATGGTTTACTGACTCCCCTTCCTCCTGTAATACTTGCCGCAACTTGAAACGACGGGCTATTCGGGATGGGGCCGGGGAGTAGTGGCCCTTAAGCTTCTCACGCAACAGATCCCAGGAAACTGTATGTATTGGGGCAGGGGCGAACAACGCCCGAGCGGTCGCGAACACTT